TAATATTTAATAAAATAAAGTTTTAAATTTTAAATTGAGTTTTAATTAGATAAAATAAGGTATTTATTTTAAATTTGAAATTTTAATTTATTTTAAAAATTAGAACTAATATGCATTTTTCTATTATATTTATTTAATGTTATACATCATATAATTATAAATTTATCATTTTAAGTGATATTAATTTTTTATTAAATTTTCAAATTTTAAAAGTTATATTAATTTCAACTAATTGAAAATCAAATTATAATGAATCATATAAAATTTTTTTTAATAGCTATTATTTTATTTATTAAATTTAAATTTAAGATTTTATTTAAATAATATTTTCACCAAATGTATGACTTTATTTTATTTAGATTTTATTTAAGTAAAAAAATTAAATGATCAAATAAATTAAAAATCCAGTTCAAATGTCAAAGCTCTTGCCATCAAAGCATGACATGGCCATATTTTGCCATCCAAGCAGCCAGGCGAGAAAGTCCCAAACGGCAGTTAAGCCAGGCGAGCGAGTGTCAAACGGCGGTTAAGTTGGCGTAAGAAGAAGGGCTTAATTGCCTTGATCGCAGAGTTTAAGGACTTATATGCATCAATTAAAGTTTAAGAGCTTAATAGCCATTCTGGAGTTAGTTCAGGGGCTTAACTTATGGTTTTGCCTACTTTCTTTCGAATTGCATTTACCATTTATGATACTTGGATGGCATTTACCATTTATGGTTTTGCCTACTTTCTATATGCCCAAAATCATTGTGCTCATCTCCTCATCAAAGCACCACCACGGGAAATACAATCCACATGTGATTCTTCGCTTTTTTTCTAAATTACATATTCTTATTTGCCTTTTAAGGTTAGAATTCAATACCTCTAACAAAATAATTGACATTCTAAATACATGGATACGGTCACAGGTCCCGTGAGGACAACAGAGCAACAATTTCTCATCATTTGAGTTACTTCTACGATTTCACTTCAGAAAATAATAATAATAATAATAATAATAATAAATACACCGACTTCAACCCGTCAATCGATCATCATCTCAGATCACCCCACCCTCCGATCGGTGGGATTTTTGACGGACCACGTGATTCCAGTGCCCAAACTCTAATCTTCCGTTGACATTGTTGTATATTGAAACTTGAAAATCATGTGCTCTAGCTGGAATAACACCGGATAAAATTGCCTTATCTCCAAAAGAAATATACATAAATAAAAGGTGTCTCAAATTCTCGATTGATAAGAAATTGTTCATCATTATATACCCAGAAAAAAGAAAAAAAAAAAGAGCCAACTAGACAAGACCTCAATAGCCAATTCACATTTGATTTAAGTAAATGCAGTTTCTGTTGAACCAATAACCACATTTTTTTTTGGATACAGTAATCATTAAAATCTAAGGGTTAGTAAGATTTGACGTTAACGTGTTAATCATGATTTCATTCCCAATTCCCACTTCAGCCCCAACAACACTTCTAGTAATAACTTGGGAGTTGGGTTTGGAAAAAGGGTAATCGGTTCTAACCTCTCAAATTTTGAGCCTGCTATGTTTAAAATAAAAGAGTTACATAATCGAACATCGAAAAAGTGTAGAACTCAGACTGTATCAGATTATGTTGTACTAATCATTGGATAAAAGATAAGCTCTTTAATATTAAAAGTCATTTTTTTTTATTCAATGGTTTCTATTTTATAGTTTAATATTATAATCTAGTATAATTCAAACTATAAAAATAGAGTTTCCATAAAAAATATATCTCACGTCTTTTTTCTCACCCCTACATGTCATGACTTGAACATATAACTTTGAAAGCAAGAAGATTGTTACCAAAGGCCATTTATTTCAATAGCCAAAGAACACACTATCCACACACAAGTTATAGACTAAGCAACCTTATGGTGAGCTGTCTTGTTCGAAATGGAACCAGTAATAATAATCATATCAGCGTTTGAGAAATGCTGCAGGTCCCATACACTATGTGTTTCACACACATTTGTTTCTTCGGATTCTTCCCTAGTAAGTTAGGCTAAATTCCACTGAACTAAGGACTTAACAGTCAAACAATCAACATTAATGTAATTGGTGCAAGTAAGTTAGGCTAGATTCCAATAAGCTCTACAGGGCTGCTAAGGTGGCTCCACAACTGTAGTAGCTATACTAATTATGTTTGGTCAAACAGTGAAGGGACCCCCAGAAAAGATTAGGACTAAATTATTGCAGGAAAATCATTATCAACCCCAATGTGCACCTTTAAATGCATCACATGAAGGGCAGTACTTGTAGATTCATCACTACTCTTCTTTCTTCAATTTATATCTAGCTTAAGGTTTGATTCAATCTAAGCAAGAAATCCAAGAAGTTTAAACTTGTAACTTTTGATACTAAAGCAGTTGTAATCATATATTCAACTTGAAAAATGATTGGTACACTCTTGGTTCAACATATTTTTTAACACACTCTCGATTTAATTATTAAAAATATAATATAAATACAATCAATTCAACTGGTTCCTATATTCTGTGTGCATGATTATATCATTAAATTTATCTGTTTTTTATTTCAAACTAAAAAATAGTGATTTTTTAATAAATATGTCAAACAATGTGTTGAATCGAAACGTGTACTAATCATTATCCATTCAACTTTGAATTGTAAGAGAGCATCTGCAACCCTAATAGTTGGAATGATTGTGGACACATAATTTGGAACTCCCACTAGGAAAAATAGGAATTGAGAGGCACCCAAGATCCAGACATGTCCATCAAGTAATCTCTCTTTCCCATTTTTCTCCCCTATAGTTTTTTTATCAATATTTGGATCATCTTGTCTTATTTGGAACAGATGAACATGGGAATTTTGTTATATGTATCTTTCTCTTCGAAGCTAAGGTAGCTTCTAATTGTGCATTCTGTGTCTGTCTAGAATCTCCCTTATTTCCTACTCAAAGTTTTGCTAGACCATCCCACCCTTTGTTGCTTTTGCACACAGAATCACCTAACACCTCAGGCTGCATCAAACAACCAAAACAAACAGTTAATGAATTTTTGGGCATTTAAGGGATATTAATTACGCATTCTAGGGGCGTATATTAGCTAGTGTACAATTGACCTATATATATGTAAAATGATTGAATAATACCTTTCAACTAACACGAGAAATTGCTGTATTTAGAGAATATTTCAGTGGTTAAAGATTGAAATTTAAATGTTAAAGATCTCAAGAAAGATCATTTTTTTAAGGAACTAACACAAGAAATGCTATTTTCAGAAGATATTTTAATGGTTAAAAGTTGAAATTTAAATGTTAAAAATCTCGAGAAATGTCATTTTTCTTTTCTTAGTTACAGAGAAGATAGCGAAAATAGAAGTCAAGGAAATTAAAATAGAAGACCCCACATAAAAATAAGGCTGGTAAAACTAGGTGCTGAATGGATTGAAGCCATGTGCAAAGCCAATTATGCTCTAAGAAGATGAGGATTTGCTGTTGGATGCAAACATCCATTAATTTTGTTGATGGAGTTTGCTATGCTATTGCCAGCACAGTGGCCTACCAACAGAAAGTTCAATCGTGAAGACAACCAGAAAGTGTTAAGGTCGGTTCCATATTGCTTGTTAAACCCTTTTTTATCAACAACAAGAAAGCTAAATTTAATCAAATCATCCTCAAGACTGGGAATATAATAAAGCTCACTCATTATTGACAAGATCACATAAAATAATGGTCCGTGACTGAATTTTGTCTGGTAATATGACAATATTAGTATCAAATTAGAAAACTAATGATGGGTAAACGGCTTTTTTAACATTTCAATTGTCTTCTTCCAAGTTCTAAATGAGTTCTTCCACCCAATTTTTTTCAAAAAATAAAACGCTGTCTTTTCTCCTCTAATGAGTTTGTTCAGAGTGGTTGATATCCATCAATTTTTTTAATATTTACTTTCAAGATGTTTCCAATCAACTTTTATTCGATTTAATTTATTTAAAAAATTAATTTCTTAAATACTATTTTAAAACTTAAATTTTAAATTTAATTTACAGGATATTTATATATTAATGAACCCAACCCTTATGGTAAATATCCATTTTTATTTGTTTCCTTTTTTTACTGCTTTGGCCTCTGTCCTGAAAAGCTTTTAGCTTTAGTTATTACCTACAACGAATGCAACCCACATAGAAAAGAGGTTGGGGAAAAAAATGACAAAGCAACTTTCTCTCCAATTATATGTAGCTTCACCTCCTCTTCTGGTCGAAAAGTTGGCTGCTAGCTCAAGGCATCCACCAAAGTGCTTCACATGGTGGTGGTGGGGCTGTTTTATTTCCAAAACTATTCTGAGAATTTGAGAACTACCCCCTTTTTCTTTCACCTAATAAAAAGATATATATGTCCTCATTTAGGGGTGGTCCATATACACAGTGTAAGGCGTTTTCTTTTGCTCCCAATTCATAGCCATAAAAACTAGTGGTTCTAATGAGTGGTTTTTAAGTGATTCCGAATAAGTTTCTTAATTACTTGATTTTCTTCTTTTTTGGGGGTTTTTAAAAATTACTTAATTACTTGTTTAAACAACGACTAGATGAATTCTAGACAGGCACGATGAATGTTGTCACAATCTCAATTTAAACTTGGAACCAAAAAGGAACACTTAAAAGGCAATTTCATTCCAAAAAATTAAGTTGATCAAGCAAAATTAATTACATCAATGTTTCTTTTAGCAAATGATTCTTATTGCAACGAGCTGAAAAGAGATTCAACACTCTTAAGAGATCTTACTTTGAATCTAATTTACTCCATTATTACTTGACTGATCATCATATCAAGACTCTAAAATCACATCATGAGAACATGATTAACATGTAAATTTTGCTCTAGACTTTCTTGGTTCATGAACTAAATGTCAATTCAATGGAAGTAGTGACCATGGTATAAATTGCCTGATGTAGATTCCTTTATACCTTTCTCTTGTAAGGCCTGTGTGTAGAACATGCTAACAGTAAAATTAGCTAGGGAACAGTGAAAGCAACAGTTCTTTTTTTTCTTTTTCCTGTTTGGTGGACAAGAAAATACTAACTGTCAACTGAAACATGTAACCTCCACCCTAAAAGATCATTCGTTTATAAAACAAATGGTGCATATCTTCGTTTCATCTCACCTCCGTGCGTGTGTGTGTGTTTTTTTTTTCTTTTGTGAGAGTATTTAGTATAACAGGTTGAAAGTAATTGTCGACTGTTTGTAAAATCTAACTATCAATAGTGATTATTAATAACAATTTAAATACTTGTATATGTTGAATTAGTCAAAATCATTAGTAATGGTTAGTTTTAAATTATTCGTATCAAGAAGTTTATGTATTAAAGTTTAAATTGTATATTAAAAGTATATTTTATTTTATAAATTTATTAAAATATTTTAATAAAATAATATAAATAATCATTTTATTAAAAATATTTTATTAAATTTAGAAAATAAATTACGTTTTTAATATATCATTTGTTTTATAAAATATTTTTTTATTATTCCGAACACCCTTAATATAATATTAAAAAAATATTATATAATATAAATTGTATCAAATTATACAACTATAATTATTAAATAAGATACAAGCCCTCAATATCAAAACGCTATTTATCCAATTAATGATTTAAATAATTCAGTGGTAATCTCTTTTTATTGAAAGTAAAAAATCATGAATTTAAATCGTATAAAATATAAGTGAAGTGAGATAAATGATAAAAAGGCATTGAAGTGAGATAAAGGATAAAATAGCGTTGTCTCTCATTGTATCTCATTATACATCTAACATCATAAAAAAAAAAAAAGACTCTCTTCATCCAATAATTCTTATTTTACAAAATAATTCAGCGATAATCTCATTTCACTGAAAGTAAAAAATCATAAATTTAAGTGTATAAGATACGAATAAAGTGAAATAAAAGATAAAAAAACATTGTTTCTCATTGTACCTCATTATACAACTAACATAAAAAAAAAAAATTCACAAGCGAGTGGATGAGTTGGTAAAGAACTATTCCAGTTAGTTTAATTAGAAGTCGTGGTTTCAAAGTCTGAGAATGTAACTCCGTTAAAACTCGTGAGGGAATGATTTACCGCCCATTGGATCCTATTTAACTCAAATCCAGATTAGTCGGTAACACAATGAACTTTCAAATACAGAATAATTCATAAAAAAAAAAAAAAACTCTTCTCATCTAATCATTCTTATTTTACAATTAGACAGTAAAACATCAAACTTCGAAAATTATTATTAAACTGCAATTTTTTTTTTTCAACGTATAAATACTTGAAAGAGATAAAAGCTACGAAGAGCTACCAGTATATAAATAAATCCATTCAGAACTTGTCCAAAAAAAAAAAAAATCCATTCAGAAGGGCTAAAACCCCTTGCAGATTCTGCCTGATCTTCCCCTTTCACCTTTACTATAATGACAGAAATGCCCTTACCTTGACACTATTGTCCCGTCACCATTACACGACACCCCAGAAGGTCAGCCCTGTAAAAATGCACCAATGAACCCCCCCAGTTTCGGCATTATCCGAAAAAAGCAAAAGATAAGTATAAAGAAAATGGAGTCAGTCCTTCCTCTGATCTTCTTTCTCTCTGTTTCTTCCCGATAAGATCATTACCCATTTTGATTTTTTCAGCTCAACTTTGAAAGTGAAATCATGGGTTCGTTTCAGAATCAATGAATACCATAATGGGGGAAGAGAAATCGAAAGAACAACTACAGTCGCCGGAATCAAGTCTCCGGCGGGCCATTGGGGTTGTTTCTTCTTTAATTTCACTTTCGCATTCCATCAGGGTTTTCACTGTTAAATGGAACTTGATTCGGAGCAAGCTAGAGGAGCTGAATTCGGGGTTAATTGACATCGAGAACTGCAACTCTGTCAAGAACGCGGAGCTTACCGGCTTGATTCCGTCTATTTTGGTCACCGCAAGCCAGTGTTCTGATCTTGCAAGAAGATGCGTGGATCTTTCGTACAGTGGGAAGCTCTTGATGCAGAGTGACCTTGATGTAATGGCCGCGAAATTCGATCGCCACGTGAAGAATCTATCTGGGATTTATACGGCTGGGATTTTGACTCACGGATTCGCCATTGTTGTGTCTCGCCCCGGCGCCGGCGCTTGCAAAGAAGACATGAGGTTTTATATTAGGGATTTGCAGACGAGAATGAAAATCGGTGACCGAGAAATGAAGAGGCAGGCTTT